GCTTTTGGGGTTTGGTGTTCAAAATACATCTGCTATTGCCAGCAGAACATTTAAAAACATAAAAACGGCCGCCGGCGCGCCGGTTGCAGTAAAGAGGTTAAAGCAGAGGTATTTTTTAGAAAACATTTTATCTTTTGCACACTAAAAAAAATTGTCTTGTGAGTTACTATTTGACTTGTTGAGCCGAGAGCTGATTGGCTGAGGGAAGGTAGTCCATGCTTTTTCCCTTTTTCTGTAGAAAAAAAGCAGGTTTGTAGATGTGATGAGGACCATGTAAAATTATTGATTGCACCAAACTGTTTTGAGAGGTTGTCACTGAATAGGGAATTGTATTACATTGTTGCAGAGTGGGTTGATATTTAGGTACACCAGTTCGAATCGAAAAACCAAGATCAGACTAGAACAAGTGTGAACACAGCCTTACATAGAAACACACTGGTATGAATGAAGGAATTGAGTTTATTTTGGTCACTTGTAGATTTATACATAGGTTACAGAGGAGTAACCTTACAGCATAGAGAAAGACTTTATGATTTTCCAGGGGTCTGGTCCTCAATTGTGAGAATTTGTGTGAACTAAACGAGTCAATTGTGATTTGACGCCAACATTTATTCAGTCATTGAGACAGGGGCCGTTTCATTTACACACTGGCGACAGAGAGTCTGTTAGCGAGATGCCATAGTACAGAGGGGTGGACAGATTTAGGCCCGGCTCTCACCTCGCGCTGCCAGGACGGACAGGGGCACCAGGGGGTAACTGTACCGTTAACACTTGGGACGCCAGTGCTCAGGACCACGCCCCCCACCCATGTCCTAAATCACCCGGCTCTCATTGAAGTCGTGTTGCCTTCACACAGCAACAACTCATATTTACCCAGACCGAAATAAACCAGAGACCAATCAGAGAGGTGCGACAAGAGCCATCAGGAAAGAGTAAAACCTGGCGATGGGAACAAAGGCATATCAGAGGAAAGGGAATGTAAGCGGTGATAGCAATGAGTCAACTGTGCACTGAAAAAAAGGTTCAAATGATGCAAATTCTTCATTATAAATCATTATGAATAGATATGTTGAATTAATATATCTATATATACAGTACCAATAGATTTTGATATGGTTTGCTGTTTTGAACGTAATTTTATCAAAATGTAAGTTTATCAAAAAAGTAACAAATGTGATTTCAGACCAAAATATTGATGTTCATTATCAATATCTCATGCTTTTTTGAGATAATACAATACGTTTTAAACACATACCAAGAATAAGGCCAGTCTTTAAGGTCAGGGTAGCCAACTTTCGAACCACAAACAAACTTCAATAACTAATATAATCCATCTAACTAGTCACTCACTCTGATAAAGTTTGCTTATGAGTAGTTTTCACACTGCTTTAGATCAGCTTTATCAGACAGAAACGTGACCAAGAGAGCACCACCCTCACTCAGCCAATCAGCTCTCTGCCCAAAGTCTCAAATAGTGACTCACAGGCCTCTTTCTTACACATCAGGTTTTATCATACAATGAAGACAGCATGTTCTGATAGAATTTATGAAACAAATATGTAGGAGATTTTAACATATGGTCTTATACTGTTCAGCTAGAAGCCTATTCTATAAGGTTTAGATATTTTATCAATAATAATAATGATAATAATAATACAATGTACTTCAGAAGAGCTTTTTCGGATACTAAAAGATGCTTTAAGTTATGTCAAGGACTTAAAATTGTATTGTTAAATTAAAGTTACATTTTATTCATCAAAAACCAGCCAGAAATACCAAATCAGTTCAAAATATTCCTCAGACAATTCGGCATACCACTTTTTTTGCATCATAATAATCAAAATTGGCAACAGCAAAGTATTCTGTTTGTATTATTCCACATCTATCAAGGGAACCTGTAGAGCTTGGCAAAGGAAGAGCATGATTTCTTGTGATGATGTTTTGAGACGGGTTTGCACTCTCCCGGCTGTAAAGGGCTGCCATGGTAACCTCCCAAATAGGTGGCCTACATATCAGTGGGGCATTGGGTTACACTGGCTGGTAAATAAACACATAAACAGTAAGTAAGTTAGTAAGTTTTTTATTTATATACCGCCTTTTCACTGCAGATCAGAGTCTCAAAGCGGTTTACAATTGTTAATTTTGGGCATTTGTCTCTCACTCCACACAGAGATGGGAGCGGGGTCGCCAGTACAGGAGGCATATGCCAGAACTATTGTACATATTTTTAGTGGTAGGGGAAACCGGAGTACCCGGAGGAAACCTACGCAGACACGGGGAGAACATGCAAACTCCACTCAGAAAGGCCCTGGTCCGACCGGGATTCGAACCCAGGACCTTCTTGCTGAGAGGCGAGAGTGCTATCCACTCAGCCACCGTGCCGCCCAACAGCAGCGGCTACAAGAGGCGTTGGAGAGGAGGAAGTGTGAGGAAAATTAGCAACAATCTAATTAAGAGAGGCCGGGGTCAGGGCAAACAAGTAAACATGAAAGACTTGTGGGAGGGTCTGTCAGGCTTCATTACGGTAATTGCAGCTCTTGTTAAACGCCCACATCAAACAAAGTATAACCTCCTCTTTTCTGCGTTTGTTTACCAAGTGAGTGGTGCAAAACTGAGCTGAAGGAAGCAAATATCTAATATGAGTCAAGCGCATTTACGTGACAAAACTAACTGTTTGCTTCTCAGTACAAGAGGTTCAAACGTTGCATTGTAAATCAAATATTATAATCCTTGAAAAAGTGAATGGGGGAAAATTGTCAAATCTATAAAGGACATTGAAGGTTGCTTGTATAATTCAATAAAACATGTCTGAAGGAGGTATGGTGTATCTGCAATATTGGTGTAGTCTTGGAGGCCCAAGTATAGTTCTGCTGCATTTCTTTCGTGTGCTGGACTTTATTTTATCTGTGTTACTGTTTCACTTATTGTCCGATTTTGGATCAGGTCTATTCTGGTCTAAATGTTACATTTGATTAGTGAAGATGCAGTCAGACTATTCTTACCTCACACACAACCCCTAATTACCTTAAACACATGCACTTTGTGGAAGAATTCAGGAGGCAAAACACACACCAGATCTAAAGCAGGAAATGTCCTCAAAGCACAGCCACTTCTAACACAATAAACGTCTTCTTCTAGAAAGTACATCCTCCAGTCTCCAGTTGATGAGGATGTTTATACAAAACCATTAGGAGTCATTGTCAAGGCCAGTTTTGGAACAACAGCCTCTTGTAAAACGCAGCTGACAGTAGTTTATGTGAGATTCCAGAGAGTGCAACTCTTTAAAACGAAATAATTAAAAAGTCTGCTGAACATTGCTGTTCAATAATCTCCCAAAGGTTTTTATTTTTTTTTGGAGTTCCAGCTCCTCCATCCCCGACATGTTATATTGATATTACATTTATCTTCATATTGTGATGCTTTTTGTCAACTCCGTATTAATAACATGCTTCATAGATGACAGGTGGTGTAAACAACAACTGTCGAACAACACACCAACTTGATCCTTGACAACTGCTCTAACTATGTTAGATTTACCAATTAAGTTCCAACATGAATCATGTTTCATGATGAACAAGCAAATGGTAACGACGAGCAATGTGTTATTCCAACTTCTGTAAAGTTATTACAACATAAAACTTCTATATTCAAAAAAATACCATACATTTTCATCAGCAGAGAAAACGTTCACATCAAAGATTCTCTAACAACCACGAATGGTATAAGTTGGTGTAAAATTTCTACTCATTTAATCTCTTTAGAGGCAACTTTTGTGATGAAAACCGTTATAGCTGAAATAGATATGGTAATTTGCATAGATGTGGCAAGAGAAGGCTTAGCTTTTATCTTCTTCACAAAGAAAAAGTCTTGTCTGTATGAATACATGTAAAATCTGATATGAAATTCATTTGAATACATTCATAAAATATGAAGTAAATTGTGTAAAACTTACCCTAATCACTTCTGGAGTCTGTTGGATGAGAAGAGTCGCCCCGCTGTTTTTCACCACTTCGGACTCCTTGGCTGCTTCACTTTCTGGTTGAGCCTTGGTCACAGAAATGATGGGCAGAGCTTCCAGTACAGGTGCTGGTTCAGTCGAAGGTGCTGAGGAATGCAAGCTTGTGGGTGTGGAGTCAACAGATTTTGCCGATGTTTCTGACACGGACACTTCAGAAATTCTAGGCCCCTCTGTAACTTGAAGTAAAGGCTCTGGTGAGGGTAAAGGCACTTGTTTTGTGGGCGTGTCAATTTGGCATACAGGCAATGGTTCGATCACAACTTCAGATTTAATTGCCGTTAAATGAGATTGTTTTGGTGGGATAGCTGGTGGTGTTTCAATTGACAAAACAGTGGGAGTTGTAGGAGCTACTGACAGATTTTCGAGTGGAGTATTTGATCTGCTGGGAGAGGCCAATGTATCTTGCAGCAAACGCATAACCTCTCGCTCTTTGCCACTGCTTCGCTCTGCGCTTCCCGTACTTCCGGCCCCAGAGTCAACAAGTTCTTGGGCGAAGCTTTCAATACTTTCCAAAATCCTCATCAAGAGTGCTCCATCGTCTTCCTCCACAACTCGCTCTTGGCTGCTTTCAATTTTGGACAAGGCAACAGGAACAGGAGATTTTGATCTAGGTCCATTCAAAGGTACAGGCTTCTGAATTTGAAATTGTGTTGATCTGGGTTGACCAAAAGCATCAATACTTTGCTTTTCTCTTTTTCTGGTCTTGGCTGGAAGAGGAGGATTACTCATACTTTGCGACAAGTTTTCCAAGTCCATTAACAGCTTGTCAATGTCTTCATTTCTATGTGTAACTGGTTGAGGAGTTGCCAGATTTGATGGGGCAGATGCAAAAGGCCAACTTTGACTATAACTTGAAGTCGCTGGTAAATTGTTCATGACATGACATTTCTGGTTTACAACAGACCCATTGACATTACTCGACTGTTTTGGGTGTATTTCAAGAATTTGTTCCGGTGGGTCTTCTTCGATGTATAGGGCTTCCATGGGGGATGCTGGAGGAGTGTGTGTGTATGGGGGCGTGGGAGAGGTGCGGAGTGGTGAATGGGATGGAGAAGAAGAGGAGCTAGATGAGGCATATGTCACAGACGGAACAGTGAGTGTGTCCCTTATGGAAGAGGAGTGCTGCAGACCATTTATAAGTGTTGGGGTACGGGACGGCGAGCTCATGGGAGATTTAGCATTTGAATCTGGCTTCAGCGAGGAAGAAATGTAGGATTTTGTGATGGGAGGGGATTGGACGACATCTTCGTAGCGAGGGGGTTGCTCGTTGCCGAAAATTGGAGAAAAAGGCGATTGCTGGAGTGAGTGAAGACTGTTCACCAGCTCGGCCAGTTCGCTATGACCATGCCCGCTGCTTATGCCTTCTAAATCCAATGGAAGTCTTTTCAGATAGGAGCTCAGACGCGTCATCATTGCGCGGTACATGCTGTCAGGGCTTGCTCCTCCATCTTCGTGATCGCCTCCTGCCTTTCGACGAATACACTGCTTTATGATATCGGTACATTTCTTCAAATCTTCTGAGCATTTCAGAAGGATATCCAAGCAAGCGCGGATGTCCTCCCCTCCACCACTCCCTGCTTCAGCTCGAGTTTTTTCTAACAAACGAGCTATCAAATTCTCCTCCCCCATTGTGCTGCGATACAGTGAGGTTATAGTGTTCATACTCTGGTCAAATGAGCTGATGCTTGAAAGACTTCCAGTTGAACCATCAGTTTTAGTAATGTTTCCTTTTTGTTTTGTCTCTTCTAAGCTTTTACTTAACCCAAACGCCGGAACAATCTCATCATTGGGAGTACTCAGGCCATTAGTCATACCATTAACTGTCCCATTAGAGGTGACAGGAGAGGTGAAGTGCCCATAGATAATCTCCAAGTCTGCGGACCGCCGGCTAAACGAATCGGGACGCACTTTTCTTCCTTTTCTGAAAGTGACATGATTCGAGGACGAGAGGCGGAGCTTGTCGAAGGAGAATTCTTTGAGCTTGCCACTTGCTAAATTAATGGCTTCCTCTGTGATGTCCTTCAAGCTGCCGGACAAGTTGCCAATCGAACTGCTAGATGCTTTTTTACCCCGCAATGTAGAGGCATCATCGCCTATCGACAAATTTCCACTACTCCCTGTCCTTTCAAGGCCACTGCTATACCCACTATCCATAGAAATGCTTTTTCCATGATTGGACAAATTTTGGCTAAGACTTCTTGACTGTATCGATGGGTTGTTAGCATCTGTGTATGTCATTTCAGGAGCAACAAGGAGTTCAGAGCATGTTCCTCTATGGGCAAGAGTGCAGTCCAGTCCTTGTGATAGTGGCCCACATGGTCCAGAGCAGTAGTGCACAGCATGGGAGTGCGCCCGCTTGTCCACTACTACGCTATTGTAACAGCTGATACTGCTAACCACAACCCGATAGGCTGCGGCCATGATGAAAAAAGTTCAAATAAAAATCAAAATAGTGGTAATTTCATCCAGTAGATAGGAAGAAAAAGTTTGGGACCATGCTGACATACAAAAAGAAATAACAAAATATAAATTATCTTCACGAGCAAAGAAAACTGTATCCGTTCCAATGGTTAGGTTAGTCTTTGTGCTAGTGGCAACCAGCAAGAAGAGTTTTGCCATATAAAAATGTAAGAAGCCAGATATAAAAAAAAAAAAGGTTGTTCTTTCAACCAAAGTTACTCAAAACAAGAATAATCCAATAAATGCTTATAATTCTTGACAATCCTCTGCAGAAAGAGATCCCAAGCGCTGTGAGTCGCAGATGTACTGTCCCTCCTCTCTCCACAGGCCTTCCTTCTAACAGCCGCTCATTACCCACTAATGACAGCCATGACAGGGGCCACAGTGGAACATCCAGCTGGGGGTATCGCCCTCTTCAACCTCCCCCCAGAGGCCTAATCAAAGCCGGGGGAGACTTCAGCCAACATCATACCCCCGGCGCGGGTACATCCCAAAAGCATAGATTTGTCAAAAGTCCCCGTTATTATTCTATTTGGATGTAGTTTTGACGCAGATGTGAAATAGCAGAATGTGGGACACAGATGGTTGGCTGGGCCTCGCTCAGTGTAGGCCAGTCACTCTGGGTCGCTACATCTCAGGATCTCAAGAGGGGTTGATGTGTTTGGATTGAGCAACACCACCTGTAAAAGAAGAGAGAGTGTGTTAGTTTTTAAATACACTTGAGAAAAATAGTACTTGGAATAGTATTTCAATGTTGATCCGTCACCTGACAAAACCTCCACATTTTCTTATTCCTTTCTATACCTTTGGACACATAGCACTTCTTTCTGCTAATCAATAGGACAAATGCTAGGTCGAGACCATTTATGGATGATGGATTGGTCGACTAAAAATGGAGTATGGCATAAGCTCTTACCCGCTTCAACTCAACAAAAGAAACTAGAAAACAACCACAAAACAACGCTGCTATCAATCAATGTCCACCTTGAAGTGTATAACATTTGTTCCATATCTTTTTTTGAGTTTTCTTATATAAATCCTTTGGTTGATTATTAAAAGTTTTGGTCAACTAGGATGCCACCCACCGATTAATCGACTAAATGACCGAAGACTGAACATGTATTTGAATATTTGTTTAAAATGACTTACTGACATAATGAGTTGGTAAATGAGGAGTACAACCAATTTATTGTGAGAACAATGGCAACCTTTCTTTCTTTTTCTGAAAAATATTTGAAACCGTTATGAAAAATGTCTCTGTTATTCTTCATTGTCCCTTAACACTCCAAAGAATGTTACCTTGGGACACCCCTAAATATAGCAACTAGCATGCTCCTCCGATCATCCTGCAATCCTACAAAACTAATGATATATATAATGATGCTGCAGTTACATGCTTTACAGCTCCGTTTCAATAAAAGAGAGCAGTCGAGAACGGGATGATTGGTTGGTTTTGTGGGAGGAGGAGAAGCGGTGGCTGGTACAATGATGCCGGGGGGGTTTGTGGCACCTGGAAAAACAACTATTAAGTATGGAAAAAGCACACGGTCACCTCAGATCACTGTCTTGCTTTCAACTCCCTCCCTCTCCCTTTCTTTACAAATACACAACAGCTGGATGCCGCTGCTGAATCAGTCTTGGGCAGGAAATTACTCTTCCTGCAAGCTGTTCTTTCACTTAAATCTGCATGGACACTTTTAGAAATTGGCTATTACTGCCACATACACACAATGGCTATCTCTGTACACTGAAGTCTTAAAATGAGTGTGTGTGTGTTAAAGTGATACAGCGCATGTAAACAAACCAATGTTTATAGCTCAAAAGAACAACACAGACATATGCGCCCACTCACAGCACAAGGCTCTATGACACATCAGCAACACACCCATGTTTGTGCGCCCAAGCCAAGCGGTAACAAAAACTCACTTAATGAGAAGGATTAAAATATCAAATGTCTCAGTTTCAAACAAGTTTAAGGCAATGGTAGCAATGATGACTATTGCAGACTGGAGGGAAAGCGTTTTAGAGTATAATTTAAGGAAAGAATGTTTGTTTGGTTGAAACTTTGTGAGAAGTACCTAGTAGAAGTCTAAAGAATATGATCAAAATCTTTATTGATACAGCACCTTTCACGGACCAGAGTCACAAAGCGCTTTACAAAAGATGATGAAGTTATTCCTACTTTATCGATCATTCTGACTTAAGCTGTAGTCTGTTCATTGCTATTCACCTGTTATTCCATTGTCTGTTTTAAGGCATGATGTTGGGATCCCTGAATCCAGCCTCTTTCATCTGCACTGGTCTACCTCTGCCCGGAATCGTGGGCTGAACCCCCTTCCTCACCCGGGAGCCTCCTTAGTCCTGCATCGCATGGCCTCGTCCTCGTTCTACAGCTTGTGTCCTGGATCTATAGCCTATTCTCCCTGAGGTTTCTCACTTTTTTCCACTGGGGTTATGAGTTGTTCCTTGCCGATGCAGGAGGGTTTGATATCCGGGACATTTAAGGACATTTATTAACATTTAGGGACATTGGTCCTCATGAACCAATGTGTTGTAATTATTGAATTTCCTGTGTTCAAACAAATAGATTCTCTGATCTGTGTTGGGGAACTGATGATTTGTCTTCCTAAATGTAAATGTAAACGTGCACTTTATTTATCCCCAGGAACGTTGTACTCTGCATTTGACCCATCCTGCACTGCCTTCAGGGCCTGTCAGGAGCAGTGGTCGCCATAGTACAGCATCCAGGGATGATTTAGGGATATACAAATATAAATTGAATCCTACACATTATAGCAAAGTCTTTATTTACAAGTACATCTAAAATAAACTATATCAAGTATTATTCTGAAGTGTCACCAAGGAAGATAGATACTGTACATCCAAAAGGCATGAGTTCAATTCATATTTGATATAACAAACAACAATGGCTGTGTTAACAAAACACCTCCAACTGCTAAAAAAATGTATATATATATATATATACCTAAAATCATAATTGTAAAAATAAATTTTTATAAATTAACTTGTGTTAGAATATATTTCTATATATGTTTCTATAGTTGAAATTGCAGATAAGATAAGGGTCAGATTTTGCAGGTAGAGCATGTATCTAATGCAGAGAATTAACTGCCCTACAAGGACAATAAAAAAATGAATCTAATCCTATTGAATGAGCACTCCATTAACACAGAGTTTCTCAATGGGAAAGGAGTATGATATATTAGTAATTAACCATGCACAAAAGAGCCTGTATTCAATGTGCTCCTTGTATTATGCATTGACACAAATGTCCTGCTCCTGAGACCTCCCTCTCCTGCCTCCTCTGTTCAGAACCTGCCTAAAAACAGTCTTCCTTCAACTTGACCTTCAGAGGAAGCAGTAAATCAGAGGAGGCCAGTTCTGTCTGTGCCGCTGCTGCTGTCACCACCGCAGGCATGTTACAGCACAGCGGCTTCTCAACATGTGGGGAGAGGATCATAAGCTGAATGAAAGATTTTCATGATTCTGCAGTAGGCAAGTCACAAAATAAAATGTTTCTTCTACAGCAAGGTTTCAGTAGCAAAAGGGGATCTAAATAAATATAAAAATCAAGAAAGAAACACATGACCGCCATGAATCATTTTTTTATATAGCATTTCTTGGACACTCAAAAACGCTTCACACAGCTGCCCTGGGGCACACTGACGGAAGCGAGGTAACCAGTATGTGCCATCAGCCCCTCTGGCCACCGCCAAGCATTCACGCACACACACCAGACTCGTTTGTTGCTTCAGTGTTTATCAAAAAGGCATTAATGTTTTAACCAAACTGGGTTCTTGAACTAACACTCTAGCAATATAGTGTGAATGATATTCGTTGCAGTTTTGTATATACCATTTTCTTTATCATTGATTATATTAACAACTGATATAATATTTTAGGCTCCTTGCAGGCTCTCACCAGGGTTCCCGACAAGGACGACAATGCAGTCATCCAGCCAAAGGTATGTACAAGTTCTTCAGCATCGGACTGTGAAAGTTAGGAGCAGAATTTGTCAATGTTTTGTAGGTGGTGGAAGGACACTTTTCAGAGGTGGCGACTGTGGTTCTGACCGAATCTACGAATCTGTCCCCTGGGTTTGTAACGGAGGGGGAAAGGGGAATGTTGTGGCCTGAGACAAGAAAAATGGATAATGGTGGGCGACTGGATTGGGTGTCAGGTGCCAATCAAGAAAATTATTAGCCACCCATGCCTTTATCTGCTTCAGAAAGGCGTGGAGGGTGGATGGTAGGACCGCGGAGGATGTGGGGTCAATTTGCATGTAGAACTGTGTATCATCAGCGTAATAATTTTAGGTTAACAAATAACTGTCCCCATGCACATTTGAGAAACACTGCCTTTTGTTTTGTTTTTTTAATATATATTCTGAATGGAAATGACCAAACATTGCATCTAAAATGATAAAGAAATGATGCATTCACTCACGTCAAATTCCTATTTTACAGACGATCTTATCTCAGGCTATAGGACAAGCATCATAGTCATAATTACTGCTGTCTGGAGTAGATCAAAACATAACATTTTCCATGGAGATAATCAATGTAATGCCATACAGTAGAAGAATAAAGCCACAGTATTAGAAACAAGCAGATGGTCATCTACCAGTCTGGTTGGAGAAAATGCAATGTTTTCTGTTCAAATCTAACATTTTTCACTGTTCAAATTCAAGTTCAAAGGCAGCACTTGGGTTGGGGCTTAGCAGTCAAGTACTCACCTTGGAGCACTTCCTCTGCCTGTATGAATGTAGTTAATATTCTCTGCGTCTGTGTGTGTTGTTTTGGAACCTAGGAGCCTCTGAGGGCAAGTGGGGTCTTTGTTGCAGTGAAAACGCTAGAACAAACCCCATAAACATACCTCCCGGAAGCAGAGACAGGTCTGTACCGGCCCTGTCATTATGACCAACATACTGACCCTTATGTGTGCCTCGTACGGGGCCTGGGGATCACACACAGTGCTACCATTCAAATCCTATGAAAAACTACAAAAGAAATTATGAAGACATGCAATATCTAACGCTGGTGTACCTAATGTTCAAATCACAAAAATAACTGTAATAAAATACATGTCACTTGTTCATCACTCTCAAAACAGTTTGGTTCTGTCACTATTTTTCAATTGTATTTTTGGATTTAGACAGAAAAATGATAACGATAGGACCACTCTCACTCAGCCAATCATCTCCATGTCAAATACAGTAGCAGTCTTTTTCACAAGTATGCAAAAGATAACACGATGAGGACAGCTTGTTGTTGGCTGATTTTTCAAGATTTCCTATGTTTTTTTTATTTATTTCAAACATACACAAGATAAAATTATTCACAGGAAAATATGATAATAAAAGAAAACAAGAAAACCTTTGCCTTCATTCAGACACAACAACAAAATCAAAACCCTAGAATACCTTCCAACAAAACACATATCAGTGACACACACATATACACACATTAACACCCATGGCAATAGACAGACAAGACAAAGACACACCAACACTCTTATTCACACAGACAAGACCCAAAACACTCACTAACCCCTCCCCTCTCTCTCAGATTTGAACATTTAACATTTGACTCATTCTGTTGGACAAACAATATGTAACCAAAATGTTATCAGCTCAGCTTTAATGAATATGCAGTAAATA